TTGATTTCGGCTGTAGTTGCAAATGTTATTATGTCCATTAAATTTTTTGTTTTGATCTTTTTTGCACAAATGGGATATTGGTAATAGGAGGTAATGACGCCGAACTCTTAACCGCCCACTGTCCTACCATATAGAACCGGAATGCAATACTACTTTGTGGTAAAGGTAGGATGGATGATAACACCTACTCGTGCGGGCTTACTATACGACGCATGATGTGGTGATTTCATTGATAGGGATCTGCGATCATGTTTCATGACGTTTCTTGATTTGGCCTCAGAGCCATTAGGTGTGAGATCGTATCGAGTGCAGATAGGTTAGTACCACCATTTGTTTTATAGCTTTTATTAACGATCGCCTCGTGTAGTTTAAGATATTGTGCCTCATCGTTTCATTGTGCTCAGTAAATAAATGCGTTGGGAAAATCTTCTCATAAAATTGGCAACCCTGTATCACGTGTATTAAGCGTTTAAGATTTCATTACGAGGTGTTTCTCTCATAGCACCCATCGTTCATGGAAAATGCAAACATAGCCCTCGCTTATCTAATAACATGTGTAAACAAAACGGAAGGTACACTATAAACCCGTTGTTTAGGGTTCAAATGACCTTTTTTTACAAACTTCAGATAAAAGTTTCAGTTCAATGGCTTTTGAGCCGCAGTTCAGGTCACATTTGACGTGTGTTTTAGTATTTGCTCTGAGGTCATAGCATTCCGAGTCATACGGTGAATTGAGAAAGCCTATTTTTGTTTGTTTTTTTATTCGTTTACGTTTTAATTATTTTTACATTACGCTTCATTGTGATACAAATATAGTAATGCGATAGTTAAAACGCTGAAATAGCCTCCAAAGGCTATCAGCTTAGGTAGGAAATTTTTTTTAGCTGAAATACTAATGATGGATGATGCGGTCAATGACCGCAATCAATTTTTTCATTTGTAAATCGGTAATGTATTCTTGATGTTTTTAACGGATTATATTGTGAAAGTTTGAAAATTTTATTTCCCTGGTACAGAGTGTTCATGATTAAAGTAAGTAAATTGTGTAACTTATGTAATTTACGACTCTCGAAAGCCACATATTCCTCAAAACAGCCTAAGCTTTAAGAGCTTTTGGCCCTTTGTGTCTTTCACTTGAAACCACAATGCAAATTGAGCAGCTTTCTAAAGAGAATAATACCTTTGTTAGCTGAACATCCTGGGCGCGGCGAAAGTAAAATTTACGCGACACTCAAATACATAGTTCGTAGAGCTCGTGGCCCAGCGGCGGGGTGCGTGCTCTCAGTGACAACGTCGCAGGTTTGTAACTAGAAACGGACGATTGCCGTCAACACCAGGTGGGCTTTGAGCTTGCTCACCCAACTAAGTAATAAAAAAAAACACCGTCACTGCGGAATAGGCCTAAATTGGCCCGCCGCGGTACTTTTTTGAGTTGGTGCGGACCGACTATTTCTAGTGTTTGTTTTTTTCTCTCCTACTTATGCTGATAGCCTTGAGAGGCTATATCAGCGTTAAGCTAGCGTCTAGGGGAGCTCTCGGGGCTCAAACCGGAGGCGTTGCTAGCATGGACCCTAGCAAGAGCAGTGCTACGCAGAATCTACCACCGGATCGGAAACGCGACCCACTGAGAAGATCCGGCAAGAATCTCAGTGGGCTGCGTCTATACATTCCACTCTAGTGCTGGTGGGTCGAGAAAGACCAGCCACGCACTGGTGGGAATATCGTTGGGGCATTTCGAACCGCCGCCGCACCAGATGAAGGTTTATGACTTTACTTGCCACAGTCAAGGTGTTAAGGTTTGTAGAGATTATCCCGCTTTGTTTCGCTCTGGCTCCCCACCCACACCTTGTACAGAGCACCATTCATTTATCGTTCCCTCTCGCTGAAAACATCGTCTTTTATTTGCCAGACCTACGCACGACGACCTGAGAGGGAATGTAACAGAGAGCCACCATTGTTTCGGCATATCAGCAATGCAAATAGCATAACAGACCTGCCTACCGCTATTTAAGGACTTTTTTTTGTTTTCAAGTTTTAGAACGCCGAGGAAGTAAGTCGTGAGCTGTATAGGCGAATTAGAACTTCATAATTGAAGACATGAGTGGATGAAGAGGATATGATACAATTTGTTAATTTTGAGAAAACGGGCAACATACTTTTATTACTTGTACTTTTTCTTCTTACATAACTCCTTAATCACATGCAATTCGTAAAAATAGCTTTTAAACTCGGGAGTTTTATGGTCTAATATGATTTATATGCACAAAACACCTTTATTGAATGTCATAACTCAAAAATAAAAAAAATTGTACTTAACCCCTTCATCCACTCATGTTTTTTAATTAGGAAATTCATAGTCTCAGTCAGTGGAAGTGTACAGTTATTCTATATCAGGAGACATTAAGTTACCTGATTAAGGAAACCTGCGTCTTAGAAAATATTGATTCGCTTATAGAATTTTAGTATGTACATACATAGGCAGAGCTTATATTTTTAGATACGTTGCGTTTTGTCTAAACGTGCAGGAAATTGCCAAAATCTTCCGTTCAGTCTATGATCCGACTCTTATACGATGTGTATTAAATTATACGGCATTTAAACGAGTTTCTCAAACGTACCTCGATAATCAAGCGTATCGCGACACGCTATTATGTAGGTATGAAAGAATTTAACGCAAACATTTTAACGCTATTTCGTAGACTATCTATACCTACTAATATTATAAAGAGGAAAAATTTCTATACTAATATTATAAAGAGGAAAGATTTGTTTGTTTGTTTGTAATGAATAGGCTCCGAAACTACTGAATCGATTTTAAAAATTATTTCACTGTTTGGAAGCTACACTATTCCCGAGTGAAATAGGCTATAATCTTTTTTGAAAAAAATTAGGGATCCTTACTAAAACTCCAATAATGTAACCGAAGGTGTAAAAAAATTACCTAAAATATTATTTACATCGCGTGCCCTGCGAAAACTATTGATGATAGAATAAAATAATGTACTACGACTTTGTAGAACACATTATTATTTGCAAAAAGTGTCGCGACAGCATATATCTAATCTAACTATTATAGTTATGCCGCAATAAGTGTTCTTTTATTTTAAAAAATAAAACAATGTCAAATATCGTTGAAATTTTTGTTGAAGACCCGAGTGGAGCCGGAGCGGGTCGCTTGTAACTAATAAAATTTAGTAAAACCTTAACACGTGTTCTCGATCGAGTGCTTAGACTCGATGGACAGGAAAGAGCTCAGTTAGTTTGTGATCGTAAATAAAGCCGTGACTCAGAAGTTTCGAGCTATTTTCGAATTGACAGTGAGAAAGCATCGTGCGGTAACTTCTAGTTTTCTACCCTTTTTGTACTGTACGTTGCCGTTGTATTGCAGGTCATCTTGGAAATTCAAATGGCGTATAAGTATATTTTAAAATATGTATAGTAAGTATTATTTACAAATTGGAAATCGAATCACTTTTACAATAATTTTATACTGGAGAAGTACAAATACTTTTTTCTTTAGGTTTTCGTGCCGTTTTCGTGATGTGAAATGTGCGAAAGGATAGATAGCACTTAGGTGAAATCAAACTGTGACAGTAAAATATTTTAAATGATAAACAGAAGGGATTTAATAGATAATCGCGATACAATAACGAATAAACATGATTACAAAATAATTATCATTTTTTTAGTTTCAAAATCAAATATTTGTTTTTACTTTTTAAAGAGGTTTTCAATGTACAAACTTTTTTGTCTTCAGGCCTGCTAACCCCCGTAATGGGTGAATCAAATTTCAGTGTTTTTATTTTTCAAAAATGCATTTAGATAGGTAGCTTGGCATGCGATTTTGATTAATTTTGTTTCAAGCCTGATCAACCGAACTTTACAATTTTAAAGAGATTTTTATGTCGATATTTAATTAGTATTGGAAAACACACATAGGCAAATCCTGATCCTAATAAAATAGTAATTTATTGTTCAGCTCTCTTGTTAACTGATAAAAATTATGTTAATGAATTTTGTTTTCGTTTCTTTTCGAAATACAAATGCCTCATTAATTTGTATTACATAATAAATACATATTTATCTCGTTCTCTTGGCTACCGTTGTGAACAAAAAGGTGGAATTACAACTTTTTGTTAACTTAGCGTGAATAATTTTATATTACTAATTTATTTCATTCGTTTCGGTACTGACGACATGTATTACAATAATTTATAAACGTTCCAGCTGATATTATTATAAAAAAAAAAAAAATTAAACTGCTCATGGAAGTCATTGTCCTGTACCTTCGTAAAGCATTAAAGAAAATGGTTGTTTAGTTTACCGTTTAGTTTTAACATTATGATTTACGAGATACGTTTGCTCGGAGCTTTAGAGAAAACATTGAAAGGTTTATGGAGTTCGAGTTTATACTGTAAGGAGGGTAAACATAAAAATTACTTTCGAACGTGGGGGTACGTAACCACTATAATAGTTACAATTTGTATATTTTACTTTGAGCTACAAATAAAAAACGAGTATTTCATTTTTCGTTTAAAACTGTAGTGAGATTACAATGTATTGTATTGTAATAACTAATTTTAGCGAATGTCATGGTCAAGAGTGGCAGAGATAACGAATGACATGCAATATAATCAAAATGCAATATTATATCCTATACATGCCCTGGCCGATCGCGATATTATCACAAAAAACGTACGCTTTATCGCCTCAAAACAAATCTAAGCTCGTTATCTACAAACACATACGTGAATACATCGACATTGAATCAATAATAGGTTTGTACCTACCGTCTTACACNCATGGTCAAGAGTGGCAGAGATAACGAATGACATGCAATATAATCAAAATGCAATATTATATCCTATACATGCCCTGGCCGATCGCGATATTATCACAAAAAACGTACGCTTTATCGCCTCAAAACAAATCTAAGCTCGTTATCTACAAACACATACGTGAATACATCGACATTGAATCAATAATAGGTTTGTACCTACCGTCTTACACCGCGACTCGAGATACCGCCACCGCACCGTATACACTAAAAATCACACAAATTCCACTATCTTCTCAGAATGCACCTAATTGAATCCATGTTATCATTTAAAATATCGATCAGTCACACGCGGCACCACGGCTTTAGGGCGACGCCGTATATTTTTACATTTAACCGATGAGATATTTTCGATACGGCCGTCACGTCTCGATTACGTGCGATATTCGATATTTTGTGTATTATTATTTCAATGAAGCTCTTTTAAAAGTTATCTATTTGTCATTGATCAGCTGTGCGCGTTTTAAAACAGTAACATCCGTGTTTCGTGTTCGGAATCAATTAAAACTTGTACACTCACGACGACGCGCGGAACGGGACTGCCGTCTGGTTGAGTGAATGAAATGAACGGCGAGTATTCGGCGGGGCGGGCGAAGACGCGGGGATAGGGGCGAGACGCTCGCAGAGGAAAGTCGATAGATGGCGCTACACACCCGTTCCTGAGGCCGCCGGTCGAGGAATGCGATTTTTGTGAATAATTACGTCGGCTGCAAGCCCGCCTCGTGCTTCCAACCTCTTTATAAATTAGGAAAACGTTTTTCAAATTATTCCTCCGTCAAACATTTACTCAACGAATCGTATTGCGAGGCGCTTTCGATGTCCGGAATCAATTTGCGCGAATCCACTTTGGGCGTTTTGAATTTCCACCATTACTGTTTGCAGTCGAACGTGACGGAAATTAATGTGTGCACTGCCGTCTTGCCTACGTGGAGAGTAAATCCTTTTACGAGCTGAAGTAAATACATCATTTTCGATGCAAAACTGAAAACACATTACTTCACGAAAAAGGTATAGGTACCTACTCACCGAGCTGATGTTTATCATCATTAAAGTATATCGAGGGATGAACGTTTATTTTATTTAAGCTACATTTCGCTTAATACGCGACATTTGTCTTTGTAATCAAAGGTGCGTTTTATTTGGTATTGGCACCAACAGTTCGACGTTTTTAATTGAACTTCAAAAGTTTACTTAGCTGAAGAAGTTTTTTTGTTACGATAGTGAGTTGGAAGTTGCAAAAATGTCGCTTAAACCAAATAGTATTTCAACTCTCGATATATACATACTTACATTATTTTCATTGCGCATAAAAATATTTAGGCACAGTAGAATAATCAGGGCAAATCCTTCTAGTATTTAAGTACTATATAACATACATAAATATATAATGGGACGATTGTCTGATTTCGATTTGTTCCGTCAATTTATCCAGTAATATAAAAAACAATCGTAACATTAATAAAATGCTAGTAAACTCATTAACTCATAACAGACTACAGATCCAGTACAATACAAAGAACAACAAGCGGGTCACTAATTAAATCAGTCTTTAGTTCAACAACGCGAAATCGGAACGGCTAATTCACATTTGACAAGTTTATCGTTCATTACGATTTACATTCCCGTTTTAATTAAACCGAAAACTCTTAACTAGTCTAAACGACTTTACAGCTATACCACTTACGTCCTTTTCTTAAAACATTGCATAAATATCTTTGTAGTTCAATTCTAAGAACAGCGTAAGCGCCTTCTGAGTTTGAGCCTATTTTACGTTAGCAGCACTGTAAATTAACAGTTGGGGCATAAACAAGTCTTGTCTATGGAATATGACAGATGATAGTTGCGACCATAAACAATGGAGTGGTCGCGATACGGATAGATAAGGGTTGATTTATTGCGTGCGGAGCGCCTAAATCAATTATGGTGACAATTTTATTTTTGATTCAAACTAACTGATAATTTGTCTTTTTTTTATTATTGTTCTTGTGGCCGTATGGATCATGTCATAAAACAAAGGGTTGTAATAAAGCGGGGGTGTTAAGCTTGTGTATAAATACCACAAGATGTGACATAATAAATAATTTATTCATCTAAAATTTCTTAAAAAAACTTCAGCAGGCTTAAAAATCAATAATTTTTCATTTTCTATCAATACTTATTCAATTCAATAACCGTTTTCAAATCTTAATAAATAAATAATAACACACGATTAAAATCAGTTAATAAAAGTAGTTAATACCATACGTATTTTTCAGTTGTCGCGGTAAGGGAGTTATTAAATCAACTATTTAATCATGTGAATCCTCAATGAAAACCTCAAAAAAAAAATGGAAGCTATCAAACAGAGTTCAATGAACCAATTAACACAATAAATTACGACAATAAAGTAATTCTGTCATTAATTTATCTGTAATAAATCCTATAAAACGTTAAGTGACATTTAAAGCAATAAAATATGTATGATTGTGAACAGCTAATTTTAATTACCGATTATTTTATTATTAATTTAGTTTTATGATCGCTACTTGTTATTAAAATTGCGTGACTCGGAAGACACTTTATGTTTTATTTATACATATTTTAGTTTCAAAGTGAAAACCGTGACACGCGTCCGACCTGTTTTTTTTTTAAACGGACTGCTGGAACAAGGATCTGTGCATTGTTTTGGAATGGAATGTATCGTTATTTAGCTTCAAAATATAGTCTGTGCACTAATGTCACTGGCAGTACGGGGTTTTTTTTGGCGGGAACGCGAGGAGTGAAGTTGTGTGATTTGTTTTATTTTGTCTATTTAGTCTTTCTTCAGGTTTAAATGTGTAATAACGGTGGTTTATTAACTATTTAATATCTGTGAAAGTGCACAAATGTGGGAAAATGAAACAAAGCCGCTGGACGCAACTTGTCGGGATCCTCCAAAAAGTCCACTGAAAAAATCTTACCTAAATGACCACCATTTTATTAAGATTATATTTCATCCCATATCATCTCATTTCATTTAATTTCATTCCAGTTGATTAATGCCCCAAATTAATCATTTTCATTGCATTTCACTTCATATCATTTTTCATAAAAATAAGAATATAAATTAAAATAAGACATGACTTAAAGGTCTTAGTTACCAGGTCATAAAATCACTTAAAAAAAAAGGATTACGGCATCTCGTGAGTCCGCACTGGTAGGGTCCACCAGCCTGTCCGTTTTTGCCGTGAGGCAGTAATACATTACGGTTTAAAGGGTGGGAGGATCCTAGTACTATAGAACTGAAACTTAGACTCATTTTTCAAGGTGGTCGGCAGTGTTAATGTTGTTGATGGGTTCCAGTATCCCCCTGGGTTGGTCGTGAACTCGGATACCCGTCTATGCAGAAAAAGCAAACAATACCGCGAGATATATCTTGTGGTTTTTATATAATTACTGTTAATAGACTCATTAATGACTTGTGAATAGAATATTGTGTTATTGTAACTTATCGCTTTATTATATTTTAATATGGTTTTTCTTGGTTGTCTGTCGGCTTTAGTACTGCCGGTTAAGTAGACCATTAAGTAGACCACCGGACCCAGTAAGCTGTCGGATTCCTGACGGATCTTTTATCCTCTTCTAATCCCAGCGCTAGAGAAGAAGAGAGAGCGTTGGAGAAATTTGCCAACAGGCAAGAAATAATGACATGCGGCCCAATTCAATTACCATACAGTGCTGACTGAGAATGTCCGTGTTTAAGAAACATTTAATCTCTTCTTTTATAGCTTATGAAAAGCAAATAATGCATTCCTTAATTTCAGATTTTGATTCATATAACCAATCATTTGAAATTAAGTGAACTAGTGGTCGCCCGGTAGTTGAAATTGGACTATTAATTAATTTTAATTATAAGTTTAAACATTAATAAGGGTCTATTGTCAAATACTATCAAGGACCTCTTTAATAACAAATTTCGTCAAGGCTACACTATACGCTATAGATAAATAATATTGAAGACAAACAAGTGGTAATATATCGATGACAAACAATGTTAATGTATTCTGAATTTTACTACAGTCTTTAACAATAAACAAAAGAGATATATAGGTATATTATTACAGATATATAAAAGATATATATTATTATGCGTGTGTGTGTCAAATATATGGTAGTGTGTGTAATGTTTTTATTTTTTTATTTAATGTATTCCTTATGTATCATTTTAATAAATATTAGCATTTTGCACTCCTCTATATTCTCTATAAGTGTAGGAAATATCATAATCCTCCGTACGCGCAAATTTCGTAATAAGGGCTACAAAGCTTATAGCCCACCTCGTGTTAAGTGGTTACCGGAACCCATAGACATCTACAACGTATTAATTATAGATAAAAATATATTATTTATTAATTAAAGTGAGTCTATGTATTATCGTTGTGACACCTCTGTATAAAGCGCTCTCTGATGGTGTCGGACGTTAAATACAACAACTGTACAATTTTCTTTCCGTTTAAAAATAAACCATATAATTGGACAGTCTCATTGCTCTTAATTGGGAATTTGTGTGCCAATAAAAAAAAAGTATTCTGGGTTAATAAAATAGAATAAAATACCAACAAAAGTACCAGGAGTTCATAAAGTATGAGTAGGTCGTATCGCGCACATAGTAGACTGACAAACAGTATTATTGTGTAGACTCGCGTGCGTGTGTCACGGGAGACAATGGAAGAGGTGGGCGATGGTGGGCGACTCCATTACCGGCACACTGGTGGCCTGCAAGATATAAAACGATACAAACACAACATGTATACATACGGGTTATTTATGATTTTGAAACATTATATTTGCCTTTTTTTATTTGAATTGTATTATGGTGAGATTAGTATCGTTCGTTTCAATTTGAAGAATAGTACTAATTTCGCGTAATTCTGGGTGGACTGTGACATTTTTTTGATAGGCTCCAGTTTGTTTATACACTTTATTTGAATGTAGGTATTTTAAACAAAAAACTCACTGGAGTGCGCATGATAAATATATCAAATGTTATTTTAAGTTATATAAAGAGCTAGAACAAATTTATTAATAGTAAAAAAACATGTTATTTATATTATATTACGTTTAAGGGCAGTTTTTTACAATCCGATACCTTGTTTTCAAATGTCACTTGCTATGTATTTGTGACAAAATTTTAGTTTCTCGCCGCCTCCTTGAAATGGGCACCTCGGCAAACATTCGAAAAGCCGATAGACAACTCGGGAAACATCTGCTTAATCTCATTGTTAAATCTAATTCACTCATAACTTACCGAGTTAAAGTTCTTTAATCTACTCTTAAGATTTACACGCGATAACGACGCAGGATAACAAATCCTAGAGATTAACAATGCAGAGTGTTGAACTCCATAACTAAAGTAAATTTTAAGCGGCTATAATAACCAGTTCTAAGTAATTACTCACGGACAATCTGGTTCCAATAACCCATTACGTTGGTTTTCGTGAACTATTGCGGCCGGGTGCAATGTGTAGTTAATTATGATAAGTGTGGTGTATTATTAGTGGCAACTATAATT